CCCGTACTCGTGACCCAGCGGAATACATTGCGAATGCGAAACACCGATGGGCCGGTCACATCATGAGAAGAACAGACGACAGATGGACGCTAGGAACATCTGAGTGGATTCCTCGCGAAGCCAAACGTCCCCGAGGAAGACCATCAACGAGATAGGCGGACGTGTTCGTGGAACGGATGGGCCAGCTGATCAGACCAGCTGGATACAATTTTCGCCCCTGGAATTCGTGGATGCGTCACCGACGTTAACCTAGAAGATTGTGGATGTCTAAAGCGAGGGACAGGGATCGATGGAAACTTGTGTACTGAGGCATGCACGCCACGTGAAGGCGGGCTATCTAAGTATCTAAATAAGTAAGTAAATCTCTCGGTAACGAAGATCTTATGAGCACTTTAAGCTGCGGAAAAATCTTCGCAATTTCATCTATGTATTCATGACTACTTAATATGCCTGCCAGTTCTCATAAGGGGCAGCCTAACACAATGCAAATAGTTCAGCCTTAGATCGCAGTACTCTTTACTTCAATTGTAACCTAAGAATGCACAAAGCGAACAATATATAGGCTGTATCAGCCGGCATCGGTCCCGCGCCAGTATGACTTGCGACGACGCACCGTCGCGTAGCACAGCTCGCACGCGTCGCGCCGCACCGTCGCAAGTTGCCGCAGGCGCGACGTCGCATAACCGATGCTGGCTGGTTCAACCTTTGTCCCTGAAAGTGGATTATTGTTAACTGACCAAGGGACTCATACATAATTTTGACTCTAAGGCGACAAGGAAATTTACTACATTGCAAACGATTGCAAGACTTTTAAAAGTCTTGTGGGCTGCTAAATGATTGTTTACCTGTCAAACATTGTGCACCTCATGGATAACTGAATATGCGCATAGAGCATGAAACGGAGTTGGGGTGTTAGTACTTTATCCCGGAATTCAAAATGCCAAAAGCGTATCAGGAAAATACGAGCCAACTCTTGCCTCTCTCAGTCCATGATACAGAGGTCATCAAAAGTACGTAATGATCGTTAATATCTTTCTTTCCAAAAAGATCTTTGCCAATTAGGAAACATTCTGTGCGTACAGCTAGCTTCAGCATAGATATATACTGTAGAGCGATCCATAAATCGTTCTTCATTGCTGTAGGGTTATGTAGCATCTAGCATACATCGCTATTGTAATGTGAAAGGTTTGAAGAAAATATTTTTGAAGAATTTAAGAAGTTGTGTAGCAGTATTTCACGCACGCTGGTATCGCTCCACAAATTCTTCACGGATTTGGAATTTTATATCCTGTGGCTACATTTCTATGGAGCGTCGAAGAAACCGCTGTTACAGTATACCATCGGAATGCGGATTCCATATTCATGCTAGCTTTTCTAGATACCTTAATCTGTTTATATATCGTTTAGCTTTTTTTTCTGGGGCCAAGCATGCCCCTCAAGTGGATCAAAACTCTCTTCGAAGTTCTTACTTGATCCTACACTATCAACGGATCGGTGGATGGCTTACAGTAAATTTGGAAGCGTGATTGACCTCTCTTCACTGGAAAAAATCATTTCCTAACGCCTTCTTCACAAAAAAATCTTTTCTGGCCGCCAGTGGCAGACTGATCACCTGAATTAGCCCTAAAAAATCACTCAAGGCTCCAATGAATAACTCTGAACTTTGTTAACAAAGTCTCTGAAATAGGCTTTGCGCTGTATGCCTAAAATGATGTAAGCCTACAAACCGGAAAAATGATGCCGTGTGAAGTAGCGTAATTGATTTTTGACTAATTATTTCTTGCTCACTCAACCCCTTAGCTCCTGAAAAATAAACGCTAACGGTACTGCGTTGTCTGTACTAATTATCATTTCTGCCATGATGCCATTCTTATCACGCAGTAACTTGAACAAAAAATAATATTGGTGAAAGGTAAAGGAGGCAATCGATGAAAAGGCACTGCTTGACAATTTTCTATTAAACTAAATCGCTTTTTCTATTTTTTCTTATGGTTGAGGTAAACGGATGCGAGATCTTGCTTTTTTGTTGGAACTGCTAGATCATAAGTGAAGTTTCTCACGTAAATATCAAACCAACAAATATTTTTACAGCAATTTCTTAGAAGAAATGGATTTTGAATAGCTACTTTTTCTCAGGGTAGAATGCGAAGCTGCAAAGTAGGAGAATAGAGAAAACTTTTAAAAAGATTTGACATCTCTATGGGTAGCTGTTCGTTCTTAAAGTGAAATAATGTAAAACCTCTTTACACATGCATTTTGTCCATTTTTCTGCAACATCATTGAGCTTTCTTATAGGTCACTACGAGATGTAAAACTCCACATGACCTCAAATCCATAGAATTTACTTAAAAGACGTAAGAAATGCACACGTCATTCCGCTGATAAACACACCACACGTCGCTATAAACTTTTTATTTGCATTCATAATGAAACTATATTACTTTTATTTTTCTACTTTATTCCGATGCCGTTTTTATGCGTCTACGAAATTTCAAAAAGTTGATTCTTAATACCTTTTAAAAAGCACAAGTTTTTTAATCGCAAAAACTGTTTAATCGCGTACTGTTCTGACTCTTACTAATGAGGTTCTTCAAGACAACAAACTAGCTCGTTTTGGATATAGTAAGCTTCAACAACCAATGCAATCCGACTTAAGATAATGCTATAAGGAGTGTTTATATCTCCATTATTAATAATTTGTTGAATCAATTAATCCGCTTTTCACATGTAATTCGACTATAGAGACGTTCGCTGCTAAGGATGGGTCCTTTGTTCCTGATGGGTCCTCTATGAAAAAAAAAGATTCTATAGCGAAAAGTGTTTGAATGCGAAATAAAACTTATAAAACTCATATAAAGATCATGTGAGAGTGAATACTATCTTCTTTCAATAAGTGTATTCACTTGCATTTTTTGTATTTTTATAGTATAGTGTAATCATTTGCACAAAAAAATACTTTTAGCTCAAATGGCGTACAGAATGTGGCGCTATTGAGTAGAACTTCAGAAGCTGAAATCAAATTTTTTTCCAATTTGTCAAGTATTTCCCGAACAGTAAGTCATTCGATTTTGTGATCGGTGCACTTTGACGGGATAAAGCGACCCTTCAAATATTAGGTGAAAGGAAAACATGTCGTTTGTGCAATCATGTGCGATTGCAGCAAGCTAACACCAAAAAAAAAAGTGTGTGGGTACCATCCGATAGAGTAAAACAAGCTCTACTGGCTGTCAAATAAAATTGTATTCTGGTAATCAGCATGAGATTTGAAAAAAAACCTTGCAACGTTCCAAATTCCAATTCCATAGTTTTTTATACAAACATCCTAGTTGTTAGATTCCATTCATAGCTAGAAAATGTGAAAACAAAAATTTTCGAGTTTGCTAAGGTAATTCTCGTGGTTCCCATATAAATAAATCCTAACTTGTAATTTTTGAAGGCAAAACCGTATATTTCCAGCCTTCTTTAAGAACTAGTTGTCAAGAAAAACTATCACGAAAAATTGCTCTTGTAGGAGGCTGAAAACTTATGACTTTGATGGCAAAGTCTAAGCATTGATTCACTTGTTTAGGAACAGCTCAGCATTAATATAGCAAAAGTATGAAAGTTTTCGTTCTTTCGATACCTTGTTTTGGAAAAAATACAGCAACTATGCATACGAATCTTATATATAAAGCTGAATGTCTGTTTGTCTGTATGTATGTATGTATGTCTGTCTGTCTGTGTGTACGTATGTTCCGAATAGAAAATTCCATTTCTGAACCGATCCGGACCAAACTTGGCACACATACGCTACGGGCCCCGGCGGGTGTCATAAACTACTTTTCGTCATCGATCGATATCGATTTTATCGATTTTTATCGATTTTTTTGCTGAGTTCACCTACGGGGCTGGGAGTTGGCACAGGGGGGTAATCGAGCATGGGGATTCCGAATACAATATTGGTTTTCAGGGTTATCGATTACTTTTATCGATTTTATCGATTTTTTTGCAAAGTTTGAGCTAGGGGGCTGGGAGTTGGCACAGGGGGGTAATCGAGCATGCTGATCATCCCCAAGGGGGAGCCCCCTAGCTCAAATTTTCAAAAAATCGATAAAATCGATAAAAGTAATGGACGATCCTGAAAACTAATATTGTGTTCGTAATCAGCATGCTCGATTACCCCCTGTGCAAAATCCCAGCCTCGCATGTCAAAATTTACAAAAAATCGATAAAATCAATAAAAGTAATCGATAATTCTGAAAACTAATATTGTATTCGGAATCCCCATGCTCACTTCCCCCCCCCCCCCCCTGTGCCAACTCCTAGCTCTGTAGGTGAACTCTGCAAAAAAAATCGATAAAAATCGGTAAAATCGACATCGATCGATAACGAAAAGTGGACTGTGACACCCGCCGGGGCCCGAAGTGTATGTGTGCCAAGTTTGGTCCGGATACGGCGGAGCCGGGTAAGCCAGCTAGTGCGTGATAAGGAGGAGTATATGCTTGAGCAAGTTGGGCTCCGTAAGCATTCTTTTTTGAGCCGAGATACAATTTTTTACGAAATGCCGTTTGAAATTTTTTGTGCTTCAAACTTCAAGTGATGAAAACTAGGGTGTGATCTTTTGAATCTTTTAGGGCTGACTTTCCTTTATCAGCTAATTTATCTTATTCTTTTTTTTTGAATCTCACGCTGCATGAATAGAAAATTGGTTCAAAATCTATCCAACTTCATATCATCGAGCTAAAATTCATGCCACATCCCTTTTTCAGCTATATTGACCATGAAGTCGCAATTTTTCAAAACATTTAATCCACCTACATTCACATCAAATGACGGAAATCTCAAATGTCTGCAAAATGAAGAACTTAAATTCCAAATCGGTGTATTTAGCTCTATTCAAGTATTTATCACATCCTAGCCGGCACTTAAGCATTAATTTTTTGCCTGTGAAAAACTCTTGCTTGCTTGATGTCGGAGCTTTGGAGATGTTTCTAAATGAACATAATTTCCATTTTTCAGTGATCTAATTCTAATACAAATCTGCTATGTTTCGAAATTATTCATCTCCCTACGGTGATAATAATGGAGGTTCACTATATCCAGCACGTGATGTATTTGACACCAGAGAAAACTTGACAGCAAGAAGAAACAGTGCTGAAGCACGTAATAACGACAACGTGGACATGCAAGTTCAATCAAGAAGAATAAGTTTGGACTAATGCCTTAGAAAATACTTTCACTTATGCCTTTTTTTCAGCAAGGGTGATGAACTTCATGAACATCGCATTTTTCGTATTGCTTATTAGCGGCGCGGCATTGACGGCAGTAATCACTCTTATTGCAAAATCAGGTGTGTAAGTACTCAGTACCAATGCATATTCAATTACTGATTTTGCGAGTTGGATATGTGGCAATTATGCTTTTTAAGCAGTTCTCATAGCCTTTAATAGATAAGATGTCACTTTGGCTATTTTACTGTTTGACTCCTTTTATTAACTTCGTTACAATTTGGTTTGCAGACATTAGACACATTATTGAAGTCTATGCATCGCCACAGTTTCGGAGATACAATTATTCAAAAGACAGGGCGAAAAGTGGAAAGTGCACTTCTTGATCAAAATCTATATTTTAAGGATGGCTGCTATAATCCAAGATACCCTTTGATTCAACTGGCTTGGCGGCTAAAAGGCGGGCTTCGCGACTCAATTAAGGCCACATAATGATCAAAGAGCACTCGCGCGAGAGAGACGCAGACTGCATCGAGAGTCCGAGCGGCCTAATTAAGTCACAAAGCCCCGCCTTCTAACCGCCAATCCACTTGAATCAAAGGTTATGTCAGGAGTCATTTCCTTAAGCCTTGCAATGTAGCGTCAAAGACGACGATACTTACGAGGGAGGGTCACGAAGTTAAAGTGGCCGATATCAATCTGTATACCATTAGTGAGAGCCCGAAGCGTGATTCCAAATCTGCTTTTCATGTCTGCGAAGCTTTTTTAATAGTAAAGTTGTGAGCATTTTTTGGAGTCGGATCAAACCGTTGGGGTAAAAACAGCCTCTGGACCTTATATTAGGTTTAATTTTTTCATTTTTGAGTTCTTTGATAAGTCACACACTTCTCACTCTAGATAGACATCAAGATTCCATTCGATAGAGCAAAAGCTAAGTTTTGCTTTGCAAAACCAAAATATAAAAAGTCTTATATGCCCACAAAATTGCATCTTATATATAAAGCTGAATGTCTGTTTGTCTGTCTGTCTGTCTGTCTGTCTGTATGTCTGTGTGTACGTATGTTCCGAATAGAAAATTCCATTTCTGAACCGATCCGGACCAAACTTGGCACACATACACTACGGGCCCCGGCGGGTGTCATAGGCTACTTTTCGTCATCGATCGATATCGATTTTATCGATTTTTATCGATTTTTTTGCAGAGTTCACCTACAGGGCTAGGAGTTGGCACAAAGGGGGAAGTGAGCATGGGGATTCCGAATACAATATTGGTTTTCAGGGTTATCGATTACTTTTATCGATTTTATCGATTTTTTTTGCAAAATTTGAGTTACGGGGCTGGGAGTTCGCACAGTGGGGTAATCGAGCATGGGGATTCCGAATACAATATTGGTTTTCGGGATTATCGATTACTTTTATCGATTTTATCGATTTTTTTGCAAAGTTTGAGCTAGGGGGCTGGGAGTTGGCACAGGGGGGTAATCGAGCATGCTGATCATCCCCAAGGGGGAGCCCCCTAGCTCAAATTTTCAAAAAATCGATAAAATCGATAAAAGTAATGGACGATCCTGAAAACTAATATTGTGTTCGTAATCAGCATGCTCGATTACCCCCTGTGCAAAATCCCAGCCTCGCATGTCAAAATTTACAAAAAATCGATAAAATCAATAAAAGTAATCGATAATTCTGAAAACTAATATTGTATTCGGAATCCCCATGCTCACTTCCCCCCCTGTGCCAACTCCTAACCCTGTAGGTGAACTCTGCAAAAAAATCGATAAAAATCGTAAAATCGACATCGATCGATAACGAAAAGTGGACTGTGACACCCGCCGGGGCCCGAAGTGTATGTGTGCCAAGTTTGGTCCGGATACGGCGGAGCCGGGTAAGCCAGCTAGTATCTCATACATAAAGCTGAATGTCTGTTTGTCTGTATATCTGTACGTATGTTCCGAATAGAAAATTCAACTTATGAACCGATCTGGACCAAACTTTGTACGCGTACACTTCGGACCCCGTCGGGCGTCATAGGCTACTTTTCGTCATCGATCGATATCGATTTTGTCGATTTTTTGCAAACTATGAGCTACAGGGCTGGGAGCTGACACGGGGGGGGGGGGGGGGGTAATCGAGCATGCTGATTACGAATACAACATTAGTTTTTGAAATCGAAATTTTTGAAATCGTCCATTAGTTCTGTCGATTTTATCGATTTTTTTGCAAAGTTTGAGCTACGGGGCTGGGAGTTGGCACAGTGGGGTAACAGAGCATGCTGATTACGAATGTAGTAACTGTTTGTGGGAATATCCAATACTTTAGTTTTTTTAGAACCTCGGAATAGAAAGGTGTAAGTTGGTACGTAATGCTTATTTAAACGAGGTAATCTTTATTTCTCATCCTCAATCCTGCATCAAAATATTTCTTCTGTCATCTAGGATAGGATTTCGGTAAGGGAAAAGCAAGCGCTAATTACAAAACAGCCTTCCTGAATGATTCGAGTGCTGATGATCACGATTGAACGTATTGAAAGAGTACACTTATCTCTATAAAATCACAACAATTTTAATTTTTTGGCGAGGTTCAAAGTATTCTGAAAAATGTTTTATTTATGAAACACTCAAACTCAAGTTCTAATAGAGCTAGATTGAATTGTTGAAATTTTGCATGCACACATCTCATATATAAAGCTGAATGTCTGTTTGTCTGTATGTCTGTCTGTATGTCTGTACGTATGCACCGAATAGAAAATTCATTTCTAAACCGATCCGGACCAAATTTTGTACATATACACTTCGGGAAAGGCGGGTGTCATAGGCTACTTTTGTTATCGATCGACATCGATTTAATCGATTTTTATCGATTTTTTGTAAAGTTTGACCCGCGGGGCTGGGAGTTTGCGCAGGGGGTAATCGAGCATGCTGATTGCGAGTATATTAGCTTGGCACTATTGGGCTATGTGGGACCCGAAAATTTTTTTCGTAGAGCTTGCTCAGACTTCGTGTATAAGGGTTATCTTAAGGGCCGGGCATACTTCAAGCGATTTCAATCGCTACGCGATTTGGCAATATTCCAGGTGTCCATAACTCATTTTAAGCACATTATAAATGTACAGAAGATAGGGTATTTCATCAGTTTACTTAAGTTATACACACTATGCATGTGCAGTTTGCTAATGCTGGATCCAAGACTTCTGGCGAATTGCCAAATCGCGTCGAGACTGAAATCGCGTGAAGGCCCGGCCCTTTACATGCTGATTACAGATATCACACTTTCTCCGCGGAACGTCTCCCCGTGTGGTTACGGTAGATGTACGGTAGGAAGTCAAGATCATGAATTTGGCTGGAGTTCGCTCCAGAGGGGCTTATTCGACACGCTGATTACGTACTTCATACTCTCTCTGCATATTGGGTTTTTTCGTAAAATTATGGTGGATACGGTATGGGACCAAAAACATAGATTTGCTCTGAACTTCATCTAGGGGTCATTTGGCGCGCTGGACATGAATATTATGCTGATTTCGCAGGATAGCGCCATTTTCTTGGGTTACGGTGGTGTACAGTAGATGGGTCGAAGTTCAAGATTTGCTCAAAACCTTACCTGTAACGGTTTACAAGAATGCTGCTTATGAAGACGATGCTTGCTCGATGTCATAACGCATTATTGTGAAGTTATGGTGAGTTGCAGGGTTCGCACGGACATTTTTTCGCTTTTGGGCCAATTGATCCCAGATATTCGCAAAAAGGGGAAACGGTCGTTGTGCATAAGGGTCTTCAGTGAGACCCTAGTAACCTGTCCCAACGCGAAATGTACGTGGCGATTCTCTTTCCTCCCCTTTCTTGGCTTAGGCAAATGCCGCCGGAGGGTGTATCGCGCGCGGCAGTGTAATGCTTTCCTATAAGGAAAGCGTTACGGTCGTGGGAAACCTTTCATACCACACGGATTGCCTTATCATGAAGAGTGGGTACGATATTCTTGAAACAGCACTTTAGGGAACCCCCTACCAAGGTTTCAGGAAGGTTCATGATTTTTAACCGCTGCCATGTACCCACCGTAACACTGCGAAAAGGTCTAAAAACGCAGCGAGAGTGTTTTAAACGTGGTCAGAAGGTCGCATTTTTCTAGACTCAGTTTCAGCCAAAACTGAGATTTTGTCGCTCTGCAGTATACCTACCATAACTCAGTGAAAACGCCTCAAAATGCCGAGGGAGTGTGATATTCGTAATCAGCATTTCGATTAGCCCCCATAAGTAAAGTTTCAGCGAAGTCCATGATTTTAGCTTCTTACGTGCACCCACCGTAAACCCAGAAAATGGCGCTATCGCGCGATAACTACGATATTCGTCATCAGCGGCTCGAATAACCCCCATATACCGAGTCTGAGCAAGATCCGTCACAAAAAAAATTTATGCCGGGTAGCCGAATATCGCCATAAGTTTTCAGAACTTGCTTTTGTCGGTTTTACTGATTTTTTTTTTGCGAATTTTGAGCTACGGGGCTGGGGGTTGGTGAGGGAGGTAGGTGAGCATCTGATTACTAACAAATAAGGAATTGCATAGAAATGGGCACAGGGAAAGGTTGTACAGGGATAGGAATGGAACCTTTATCGTTCCTGACAGAGGCGAGCAGAGCCGGGTAAGCCAGCTATTTCTTAATATATTCGTTCAAGAAAAGTCCTACAAATCTCTCACTCACTCACGCATATACATTCCACATTAGACGGTTATATGTGCTGTTGCTGTATTTATTTAACAGCTAAAAATCAAGGAACCGATTTCCATGTTTTCACCAAAATGATAAACAGTTGTAATAAAAGCTTAGAAGTGCTTACGTAGATTTTCGGCTTTCTATAAGCTCTGGTTTACAAAAAAAATCAAATTTAACTTTCTTCACTTGAGTTGTTCACGCTCAATTCAACATTTCCCGGAACTCAGAGCTTATAGACGGCAAAAAATTTACCGTTGTACTTTTGAGGGTTTGTAGTATACAGCTGTCAGTGTAAGAACAGCACAGCTTCACCTTGGTAAAAACATAAAAATTTTCGGTTTTTTGATTTCTAGCTGAAAAAAGATACAGCAACAGCACACATGAATGTTCGATGTGAAATGCATCTGCTTGAGCGAGTGAAAGATT